CGTGTAATTTAATGGTTGTGTTTGTTGTCCACACCTCTCATAAGGCAAACGAATGGGTTCCGAGTTTTTAGGCAAAAGAGCCGACGGTTTCTATAAGGTTAAGAAGATGGGCTCCGAGTTCTTGGGCCGCAGGAGGAGGAGTGTCCCCACTGTCTAAAGCATTGTAACTAAACCTATCATGCTAAATTATTTACTAATTACTAACATTCACTAACACATTAATGTCTAAATAATTGTTGTATTAAATTTGTTTCCATAGGTTGTCTAAACATTGTCTGATATTAAGTTCTTATAAATGTATTTCTCTTATATAAACGTAAGTTAATCTAAAAATTATAAATCTAAACCTGTTTTTGTGTTATAGGCATATTTGTAATGTTAATAATCAATTCACATGTTTTTCACCATTTATTGATTTATTGAATTCCCCATTGAATTTTGTTGTGTGGAGACATTATGTAAAACTTAATTATAGTCTTGTTTTACTAATTGATGTTTTCGCGGTTATCTATTATTTAACTTATTATTTAGTCTTTTATTTATTACCTGTAATACAAATCAATATTTCTTGTAATTGTAAGTAATTTATTTGTTACCAAGCAATCTTTAGTCTAAATATTATGTCATAACAAAAAACCAAATCTTTAGAAATGACATAATATACAGTATATGTTTGATATGTATCTATCAAATTAGAGTTGAGTGGAAATTGGTGTAAAAGTAATATTAGGCAAAGTTTGTTTCCTTTCAAATTAAAGTTTCTTATTTTCATTTCCTTTTCACTGATCTCTTGTATACGACTACACATTAGATGTGGAAATTTCATCTGATATTTATGGCTCTCAAAAACCCAAACGAATGTCTGAGTACTTGTGGTCGGGTGTGCCCGACAAACGTCTGTCCGAATTCCTGGGCGGACCGGGAAAGAGGCGCATAGGAGGCGCCGTCACTCCCAGCTATTATTTGGCTAAGAAGTTGTCGGAGTATCTCAACTCGTCGTTCAAAAGGCCGGTGCGCTTCTCCAACGCTTTCCTAGACTTTTACAATCCGAGGGGCAGTGAGTTTCTCGGCGGACCCGGCAAAAAATAGTCGGTTCCCATCGAGTATGGACTTCATATATACATTTATATGACAGACAACTGCAATATATATGACTAAACTATATATATATGTATGTACCCGACAAATCTCATTTGATTATTCATATCGATTTTAGTGTAGACTAACATTTGTTTTGTTTTGAGAGAAATAAATATCAGTATTTATCACAAACAACAAAAAAAAGTTTCATTTTATATAAAACAGAATAAAAGTTTTTAAAAAAGCAATGATTATTATTTAATTATATAATACATGAGAATAGAAATTTAGAAATTTTTGACAAATTAATTATCAGATTATTTATTAACGAATTTATTATAATTACACTAATTATTATTATTAATTGTTTAATAAATTTCATTTCAAATATATTAAATTAAAATTTATTGTTTTCTCTGTGAATGTAATAATAATTTATAAAACATATCTTATTTTTAGTTAAATATTAAATTTTATTATTATTTTAATTAATTAATGTCTTTCTATTTCTAAGCATTAATGTGTTTAATATATTATATAAATATATTGCTGTAAAAAACATTTTCCGTAACATTTTACTTTAATTAAACATAAGAGACATTCAATAAGTAAAGTATATTAAAATGTTTTTATCTAATTATACATCTGTTTACTAATAATCACATCAATTATAAATACAATCAATAAAAATACCTATTATTAGTTTAAATATATTATGAATTGTTTATCATTTTGAATAAAACAGTCTAATAACAGGAATATTAGAAACGCTTATAGTTTTAGCAAAAGTTTTGCAATTAATAGAAAAGTTAATTAAATGAAACATTTGATTGAAATAAATAAACATCTTTTCATATAATAAGACATTCAGTTTAATAAGATTTTTACTTTTATAGTTTCACACTCTATTCAGTCTTATTAATGAGAAATTATTTCTGAAAATATTAATTTATAGAAACTTTTATTCATAAACGAGAAATGCTTTTCATATGTCTGCCTATTATATAGAGTTAAGTGGAAACAACTCTAGGAATGGTAGGGAATGGTAGGGAATGGTAGGGAATGGTAGGCCTGTGTGTGTGTGTCGATGAAGAGGCTTTAAGTGAGACAACTATATGATATGTTTTCGTGCGAGAGATGAAGTCAAAGCTGAAGTTAATATTGATTTTTGTCGGAGAAGTCTTGAGATCAATAGGAAAGACGTGTGAAATGTAGTGTCAGTTTGTGTGCTATTAAAACAACGGAAACACTTGCACTCTATGTATGAGAGAAATGGTTTGCTTTCGCTTTACGGGTGAACACTGTTTACAAAGTTATCACAAGTCTTGCCTTTTCGGTCCACTATTTCTCACTATTTCTTTAAAGGACACCAAACACTGAGTTAAGCATCACTTCTGATTGATGTCAAAAAATCAATCCATTTATTGCTTGAAAATCATAGACATTGTGTGACATCAAAAAGCATTTCACTTTCATTTACTATTCATTGCTTATAACGTTTTATGATTAACGCTATGAACACAATATATGAGTTGTATTTTTATTTATATACACAGAATTCATACATTTATTTTCGAAAAAGTTTTCTAAATGTTTCAAATTTACTATAAAAACAAAATTCAATTTTGTTTTCCAATCCTATCGCCAATCGATTGAAAAGTAAATAATTTTTTCCAAAGATTTTTATATTTATTTTTTGAGTTTTAATAATAGATAAAAGTGAAAGTTCAATGAAATAAGAAATTCAAAAATAAGTTATACTAGCTAATATTTTATCATTTGTTTTGAAGTATTATTGTGTTGAATTTATGGGGTCCATGATAAATAAATAATTGTCCATAAATATAGCAATAAATATAAATACACTGCTAATAATAATCATGAAATGATGTATACAAATGAAATGCCAAACAAATTATGTTTTTATTGAATGTAAGCATCATTTAGACAAACATGACATTGATTTGAGTGCCGGTGCGGACAGACACGAGTCAATTGGGAATCTCTATGCTGTAAGGGATGCCTAATGTCTCCAAAGATCTTAATATTTGTTGATTAGTCTTACAATGTGTTGCCATTATTTCCCAAAAGCTTTATTCTTAAGATTGTCTCAACCGTTGGAAACTCTTATGTCTTTTTTAACCATTAATGTGAAAACATGAGACCATTTAATAAAATGGTTTGCAATTGAACGCAGAGTTACAGTTAAACCCTATACAAACAAATGGCAATCGATCGGCAGTTCAGAGGTTAAGAGTCTTTCAATTTGACACACAATTCAACACATGAATGGCTATCCATTGAAATACCTATTCATGGCATTCATTAGGAAGTAAAGTATTCATCAATGAAATTAAATGAATGAATTTCTTATCGTATGATTTTTATGCCGTTAATAACAATAAAAACCTATTGAATAGATAATAAGATGAAAATAATGTGTACAAAATATTGTATTAGTATTTGATTTGACTATGTTTGACTAGGTCTAGTATTTTATTATTGAATTAATACTGTATTTTTTAAGTTCATTGTAACAAAAACACAGTTTGCATTTGAATGAGTAGTATTGTCGTCAGAAAGTGAGTGCATATAAATTGGTTATAAATTCAGTTCAATAGTCGCTTCGTTAGATGCCATCAAAATAAAAACAAAAATATTTTTTGTTACACTAGTCTTTTTTGTTTAATTAAAAAGTTCATTAATAAAAACCTGCATCTAATTAAAGGACATGTTTGGGCGTCTATAGACTTTTTGATGATCACATTTTTAATTTAATTTATAGGGGAACGGCTGTTAATTTAATTTAGTGCCAGAATACCAAATAGACTCTTAAATATGCCTTTTGTGAATAAGTTTGTTATAAAGTTTCCGATAAAATTTCTAGCTATTAAAACGTAACAAAATGTTAATATACTCGCATAAAATTTCCATTATAAATAAAAGTACCATTACAAACATTGTATTTCTAGATTAACTGAATTTCAAAGGCAATCACTGACAGTAATATACAGTGAAGAATTCTGAATAATTTGATATTTGGATAATTTAATATTAATTTATATGTGACAATAAGACTATTAAAGGCTTTTTATTTGATATCATTTGAATGACAAAACCACAACATATTTAAACATTTTAATTCCCAACATTTGTCTGACCATTCAATCAAATAATTTGTTAAATTGTTATTTTTATTTTTAAAAACAAATTCTCCAAATGATCGCAAAATAAACAAATAAATGTTTTGTGAATTCTATGCAATTCACGACTACTTTTTTGTTTTTTATTTTGAACGTTAAAACAATTTATTTACTTTATTAGCTGTAAGTTTATAAGGTAGGTAGAGGTTTATTAGCTATTGTAGCATAACATGCAATTCTGGTGACAAAATATATTTTAGTATAATGTATTTTATTATATAACTCTTATTTGATAACAAATATAATTTAAAATAAATTATTGATGCTACCAATATTCATATTATATTGTATTATATTTACGGTACAAAAAAGGTATTAAAACATAATACAAAAAATAAAATAACGAAGGTTACAGTAATTAGTTACAAAAAATAAAAGTTATTTCCAAAAGTGAAACATAATTTAAGCCACACAAATAAATCTCGAAACAATTACAAAATATATGGTTGTTTGGTATAAAAATGTAAATTCACGCCAGAATTTACTTTTTATTTTACTATACAATCGTGAAATGAATTCCTCGTTATGTTCGAGACTTTCATTGAATACATTGTTTAGGAATCACTTCATTCAATGAAATCAACTTTTTTTCATTCACTACACTATTTATTATTAAACTAAAGTTTCTCAAAAATGTTTTATATTTTGTATTTGTTAATGTGCTTGTTTACCATCAAATTATTAATCTCTAAGCACTAAATAAATAGTGAGTGTTTACAAGATATGAAATATTTTTAATAAATATTTATCAACGTAATTATAAAAACTTATTGGATAATAAAAATAATAATAAATGTCCACATAAAGTACCATGGCTTTTGGATAATTAGGTTTGCAATTGATTTTATTCATCCTGATCATTGATAAAAATATACAAACATAATAAAATGCTAAATAATAAAAACCACTATTAATAAAGATCAATTATAATAAAGTACCATGGCTTTTGGATAATTAGGTTTGCAATTGATTTTATTCATCCTGATCATTGATAAAAATATACAAACATAATAAAATGCTAAATAATAAAAACCACTATTAATAAAGATCAATTATATATCAATTATTGTACAATGCTCAATACAATGTCTAAAACTTGTGTTATTAATGTTGTCTAATAACTGTTGTTTGGTTTATTTTTATTTTTAAATTTTTAAAGAATATTGACTTTAATTAAAAGTAATTTTTAACAAAACATTGTCAAATGTTATCAAATAAGACGAGACAAATTAAACTAGCCTTGGGTATTGGCCTTCAAGTTCTGGGTGTACTGTAATTATAAATATTGATATATTATATAAACAAAACTAGTTATGAATGTGGTTAATTAAAAATTATGATATAGTGATTTTTAATAGCTTTATAATTATGCTATTTTATTTTTTTATAAACATAAGTAATGTTTTATACATCTAAGTTAATCCCAGATTATCATATAATTTAGCATTTAATCAAATATTCCATTATATTTGTATATCATTTGGCTCACAGTCTGTGTCCATACTTACATCCACACCAGTGCTCCCACTACTGAATTAGTGATTCACACAATTGCCGTATAAATAAGAATTACTGTGAAGTATATGAAGTGTAGGCGTCAGTCATATAAAGCACAGTATATTCTCGTGAATAATATGACTCCTAATGCCTTCATTCGTATGAAGTGTCAAAACATAAGCCAAACCGTAAGGTCTTGTGAATGATAGCCATTTCGGGGTAAGAAGTCTTTTGACAAATTCAATACTTCTCTGTCTTATATGTCTCTAAATGGCAGATAAGACATGAGATGGTAAACGACATACTTTTGAGTGTAAATGATTGAGCACTTGTACCATAAACAGACTACTATATTACATCACTGGGGAAATAATTTTTAAAGTCACTTATATTTGTTTTCCAAAGCAAACATTTATTTACTATAAAAAGTATTTTTAATAAACTTTCTTATTTAAATCAAATACTAAGTTTCCTCACTACCCGTCAAAGTATGGATTTATTAGAAATAAAAACAGAATATTCTCTTAAATAAGTTAAGATAATGGAGGTGTGGGTGTCTAATAGGAAGTATAAATGATTGAACTAATTTAGTTTTGCTATGTTATTTACTAAGTGTATTTTTATATAAAATAATTCTTATAATTTTATTATTATAAATATAGTATATTTACTGTAATAAGTTTTAATTTTATATAATTCTGTATATTCTTGAATTGAATATTCGTCCAAATTCTTAAATTACCACATATTAAATATTATGGTGGGTTTTGAAATGAGTATGAAATAGTAAATGATATCATTATTTTATATCACTTTATTAACATGATAAGATTATGAGAAATAATTAACTGCATTAATACTGTAGGATTAAATAGTTTTCTGGGAACATCATAAATAACTAATAATTAGGAAGGCCCACACTTAGGTCATAAGAAATATGGTGACCTGGAATAATGCAATGAACCTGGCTACAATGAACCCTGATGAGATTGGATGCCTACAACATAGAAAACATCACATTTTTATCAATTCCATTCTTTATACATATTTTATTGGTTTGTATTTGAACTTCAAAATTATATTTAAATAAAAGACTAATAAAAACTGTTTTCCATTAGTGCTGACAATTGTTATCATTTCCCGATTGGTATACAAGTTATTTGACTCAAAAAAGTGGAGTTTAAACATAAAAGCATCGAAATATTGCAAATTAAAAGTTAAATACATTTTGAGAAATAAACTAAAAGTCAAAATAATCTAAAATTTCAATAACTCTTTAGAGACTTAAGGCTTACACAAAGGAATTAATCGGAGGCCAAACGACTCGTTCAAAACAATTTGTAAGTCATGTCTAAACATTAATATTCATTCAAATCGATACCTACTGATCAATAGGATGTTTGCAGAGACTATTTAACGTGTGATTTAATTATGTAAATGTTTGCATCCCTGCGCTTCACTGAGCTGAGGGATGGCTCATCCCATATGTCTTAACTAATTCCCGATTGAATGGCAAAAGTTAAATGAGACAAATAAAGAGCCGTTTCTGACACAATAGTTAATGTAAGTTTGCATCCCTGCGCTTCACTGAGCTGAGGGATGGCTCATCCCATATGTCTTAACTAATTCCCGATTGAATGGCAAAAGTTAAATGAGACAAATAAAGAGCCGTTTCTGACACAATAGTTAATGTAGTTTTGTTACACAATTGCACACGTTTTTTAAGGTCTAACACTACCTATATGTCAGACCGAGATTTCTCTCTGTCTTTTAATGCTATTCAAAACAAACAAAAATTATCTGCAAATAAGAAATTAATTTATTGCACAGAAATGACTCAAAAAATTTCATATTGTTTCCTTTCTTAGGGGTTATCCGTCTTATTCATGACATTGATTTCGTCTATTGTATTTGTAATGGACTACAAAAATAGGTAGTACTATGAAAATGAAATGTAGTTTTCAAGTGTTATATCGATTTAAACGTTTATTCTAAGGGGGTTTTGGCAGTCAAAGGGGGCCGAGACTTGTGTGCCATTTTCAGACGACTATATCTCGCAAATCGATTTAGCATTAAATATATATTTTATGTCTTACTTCACAATTCGGGTAAAAACTACAAAATGCAGTAAACTATAAAATGAATGAATTTCATTGTAACCGAAAAAAATGTTAACATTTCAATAGTTAATCTCATCTCCAAATAAAATATACTTTTTATTTGAAATCTATTCAATTGTGGATTTCATGACAATTCCGCCCGCATTTGTAGTGCTTTTTATAGACAGGACATGGATTGGTATGCAGTTTCTTAGGAAAAAAGACAGTAATTATTAAAACAATTTGTTTGTTTTTTGTGGAAATACATTTTATTGCACCCGGATTATTGGTGCAAAGGATTCAAATTCATGCGAACCGTTATGTTCTGGGAATTGACACATATTTTGGTTGAGCTAAAGGTCGTGAAGACGGCACTGGTATTACGGTTTGTAAAGTTGGTCACCGGTCTGGTCGTACTGGTCGTAGTGGCGGCGGGTTTCATATTTTCAGTTCAGTATCATTTCTAATTACCTAGACCATTACCTACCTACATAAAATTAGTTTTAAATGAATTATTTTTATTACAAAGTTTGAAAACACTGGCGATCCGTATGACTTTGTGAACAGCCATCCCGTGTCATTTTATGAGGCCATATATTTTGTTTTTATGACTATAACTACAGTCAGTAATTAAATTATAATTATATTAATTTGTGAAAAAGTAATAATTTATATGAATGAATGCCATTCTCCACTGTACTACCGGTGCGCCTATAGATAGATGGAAAGGGACTCGTAATGACAACAGATTTAGGCAGAGGTTTTTACTTGGCATTTATTATCACTCTATTAGTAAGTGATCGTAAAATGCTATGAATTTATTATATTTATATATTCAAAAAATTCTTGATTCCCATTTAATTAGATATCATTTCTATGGTTTTTGGCAAAAATATTTCACCAGAATTTCATTCTGGATAACAATTATTGTGAAACATTTACATCGGATTCCTGTCAAAAGTATATTTAAATAATTAAATTGAATAAATAATTAACAAATTTTATTTTAAAAACCCAGATTTGTTATAATTTGTGGCAATTCGTGTTACAATAACTTAAATACAATCATCGATGGATTCATAAGCTATAAGACAAAAGATAAAAATCTAGAAATAATATTAATGGACACGAAATTTTCAGGTAACTTTTTGCTATAAAAATTAATAATTCGTGTTACAATAACTTAAATACAATCATCGATGGATTCATAAGCTATAAGACAAAAGATAAAAATCTAGAAATAATATTAATGGACACGAAATTTTCAGGTAACTTTTTGCTATAAAAATTAATGTTTTATTTAAGTTTCAAATCTATAATTAGAAAATACAACACATTTAAAAGGAGTTAAATATTTTTACGGCTCTGTACTGAATCACATGGATCTGAAACGTTTGCAGGTATTTATTGACAAGCACATTTATAGAATTCTAAATTTAGACAAAAATACAACTGTATAAGTTATATAACTAGCACTGAATTGAAAATAATACTGTAATATACAGTACTATGACAAACGCAGAGAAATAACCACAAAAAATATATTTTATTGAACTATAATAATGATTTCATAAGACTTTTTGTTGAAACGATTCACTACTTTTGATAAATTTTGTATATAACAAGCGATCGATTAAATCGATTCTTATATAAAGTCTCGACTTTCTTAGCCATAGATATTATATTTATCTGATTTGCTAATAAATTCACTCTAAGCTAGGAATCAATCTTTTGCTAGCAATTTTATTTTTGATTTCATTAAAATTTTACCCAAAATACCTGACTCTATACCGCACTGAACGGTATTTACAGAATATTCTTATAAATATGAGTGGGATTCATAGTCTGAGTATATAAAATAACATAATTAAATAAATGTTTGTCTACTTTTCATCTGGCAATTTAATTCTACAACAAATAGAAATAAAGTTTATCTATGATTGCACACTGACCTGTGCTACTGTTCCCCTCTCCTCCCATACAATAATCACTGATTAGGCCCACAGAGCCTCGACATGTGTGGTATTGGCCGACAAACTGAGCAGTGATGCCGATTCTGGCGATGCAAACACTGTTATGCGTGTCATGTCTATCAAGAATTATTGCAAACAAATACAGGTTAAGACTCTTATGGCTATAATTCATACAATAGTTTTGTTTGGGAGACAATTAAACAATAGTTTACTTTCAGATTATCGTACAATTAAATCGATCGCAAAATAAATATTACTTAAACCAGATTCCCAGTTGGTGTCCGACTAATGGTGAATACATTGGTTAATTATTTATTTGAGAAAAACAAATTGAATTACTGTATTATTTTAGGCGATAAAGTGTTTTGCATGAGTGAAATAAGTCATAGAGTCATTGGTCAGTCATGTTTGGCACCGGGAATGAGCACATTATTGGCTAATTTAATTAATTTAAAAACATACAAGCAGGTTAAAAGAGTTTTTAATTTAATTACATATTTCTATTATTATATTTGCTTTTCGGTTGTTTTAATAATTTAATTAATTAATTATTTATTCATTAAATAATATCTCAATTTTGATGAATTAGTTGAAATCTCACAGCGAAGTGAATAAAGACTATTTGAATGCAACAAAACAGCAAATATTTAGTCAAACCCTTAGCCTGGCTTTCGATGGCATGACATTTGCACAGACTTTTCAGTTATGTTTCACCAAATTTAAGGCACTTTTATTTGCCATCGAATATAATGAAGAAATTTTAATTAATCCTAAACCCGAGTATTGCATTCAAAACAATACAAAAGCATTTTTTATAGCAGAGGACAAGGATTTAGTGAAATGGTATGCCATTACAATATAAGGGAAATTAATAAATTTAAATAAATACAAACTGTCTGTCCACAATACAGTGCACTTGTTTTTTGTTTTAACTGTCATAACGATGTGACCGATACTAAACTGATTAAGAAATGTCAATGTCTTAAGGGTTAGTAATTTTTTGAAATTTATTTTTGAAAATATAGTACTGTATATACAGTAATAATTAACAAATTTTCATATTTTATTTAAGTTGAGGACACTATTAAAAAGAGATATATCCATGAGTCAGGTGAGCAAAAAAGTTTTTACTTTCATTTTATGATTATTTAATTTTCATTTTTAATTTGAAACAATTTTGTAATAGGTTTTGACACCATTGATAAGACCGAAGAGAGTGAGTGAATAATGCATTTGTTTTTTCAGACATTATATTAAAAGTACACAAAGATATGGCATTTTATTTTGCAATTTCTTTTCAGTCAATTTACTGAATATAACGTCAATTCCTATTAAGAAAAGTCATGACTCCGGAGATAATTTACAAACTTCTTCGCCTAAGAAAATGAAAACAGAGACAAAACTCAAGAGATATAAAAGGGATAACAAGTAATACCTTATATTGGATTTATATATAACATAATTCAGAAAAATATTTGTTTTGATTGCTTTATATTCAATAGAAGTGTCAAAAAGTTTTTTCAGTCTTATATCTCTATAATGTATTGAAAGAAATTGATTTTTCTCTCCTATTATGACGTCTAAGAAAAAAGGGAAAGGAGTCGAGGAGTAGGAGCACTAGTAGTAGCAGTACTTCGAGTGATAGCTCGCGACAAACGGATGGCAAACACGAAGAGATTAGACGGGAATGTGATTACGATTCGTGCGCTTTGTTTCATTACTGTCCCAACAAATCAATCGATGACTGCATACTTCAAAAGGACAGTCAGCTTTTGAGGCAACTTTCCGATCATGTGATTGTCGGCCTATTTGTCGGCAGGAATTCCTCTGCCGTCGAACTCAAGAATTTGGTGCTAACCCTACGGTTTGATTGGCTTTGCAATACTTTGTGGAAAGCTTTTCAACTGATTTGAGATCATATTTTACAGAACCTCTAACATTGATGTCAAACACTTGAGACCAGTGCTAATCGTGGCTGACATCGAGGCCATTGCCCGGCAATGGATTGCATTACAGAATATTCCGGAGATATATCTCTTCAATGGATCCCTTTTATCACGCGATGACTTGTATGCCATAAATCTAATGGTCTGTAATATATGTGTTATATTGACACCGAATGGATCTGAAGATATTGACCCCAAATTGGCCGACAAAATGGCAATACTGGCCACTCTTAACGTCAAAAACATTACAATTGATGAATCAATGTTAGCACAAATACCTGTGACGTCAACCCATTCAACGACAAGTGCTGAGACAATGGTATTGATCCGTGAATTAAGAGCTTATTTATAATTAAAATTGTTTTTCATTTGTTAACTCAAAGCCTCCTTTAGAGCTACAAAGAAAAGGGTATTGTATTTGGTGTATGAAAGTGATGTTTATCAGGAATTTAATATGAATTTTGTTTACAAGTTCTTCTTATGGTGTCAATGTGTCAGTCATTACTGAACTCCGGGGCGAAGACTATCTGCAAAACCTACGCAACGGTAATAGCGATAACGATATGAATGTCTGGCAATCGATTTCCTGCGGAAGCGTTTTCATCAATACTTTCGTCGATTCATTAATTCCTTTGTTTTCTATGAGACCCGAAATCCTAAGAGTTGTCGAGTCATTAATTTCTGGCGCTTTGAGTCCTAAATTAGACTCAATTTTATGCCAAACAGAGTGTCTTAAGTGGAAACCACTTACTGCTCGTACATTAAGACATAGAGATCGCAGTCGATTCACTCACATCTCATTAAGAGGTCCACTATATGAGTACAGGGACTCCAAGTATGGGGAACTGGTGCTACATCTTTGCAATTCATATGGTGTACTGAGTTTTGGGATCTATAGACTCGATGATCAGTATAATACTCGCTATGTTCTCACTAATCCAGGCTTTGACTTCAAATTAAATCCAAACGATTTGGTATGACTTTAGTTTAATTTTCCTAAATTTAATCATTGAATTCATTGAATTGAATTTATATTTTTCTTTCAATAGATTTTTGCTTTAATACAATGCGATTCTAACATATGATTGAATAAAGACTTAATGTTTATGCAAATCATATTTTATTTGTTTAGTTTGACATTTTTATTTGACTTGAATTTCAATAAATAATTCAAATTGAAGACTTAATTGTCTAATTGTCTGAAACTTTTTGTTTGACGAACCATTCATGCGATACAATCCCTTTCCAAGTGATTCTACTATAGGGGAAAGGGTTCAACATTTTTGTCACCAAAGATTTCAATTCTTGCGAAATGGGCGCCAAATAAGTGACAGATTTTGGCCACATCTTCATAACTGTCAGCTCTTCAATGATTGCCTGTATGTCTGTCTCTCTTGGATCGAAATTGAAGGGAAAGGCACCCGAATGTGACAATTGGTAGAGAATGACTCCCAACGAGTAGACATCGCTGACCATTGAATTATATTCAATAATAGCCTCTTCGGGAGCCATGAGATGTACTGACCCGACCAGAACTGATGTCAATTGGGTTGTGCCGTCTGTGAGCCGTAGGTCTCCACGCGCTGTCCCGAAGTCACATAATTTGAAGCGCTTCTCATCGAACACAAGAATATTCTGGAGTTTGAGGTCTCGATGAGAGTAGCCATTGGAGTGCATGTGTTGGACTCCATCGCATACTTGCGAAAAGATCTCAAAGATCTCACTCTCGTTCAGGTCTTTGTCTTTGTACTCATGGACCAGATATTGAGCCAAATCTCCAGAAGCAGCCATTTCTAGAAACAAATATATTCGGTGTCCAATCACTTGGTGGCCATAGAAGCGGATGATATTCTTGTGAACCAATAGAGAGCCGAAGACTTGCAGAGCTTCTAATTCTGCGTAACTTTGTCTCAACCGAAGACTCCTTTTGATGGCAATCTCAACGCCGCAGTCATGTGTGGCCTCATAGATGGTGGAGAACTTGCCTTCATTTAAGAGGACTCCCACTACAGACATGTGTAGAGCGCGAAGACAACAAACCTCTTCATCGGTAAGAATGTCATCCGAGGGCCGGTCGTACAGTATAGGGTCGCCTAGTATTGGAGATAATGACCTCAGTTTGGCGTCCATTCTTGAAAATTCTGGCAACAGGTCGTCATTTGCGTAACTGATCCCTGAATCTGATTCCGAATCAATGATGTCTTCGCACGACTCGCTTCTGATGTCATACTTTGAATATCCGTCGTCTGAGCTCTGGTTGTCATACGAGTGGTGGACAGCGATGGGCCGATCGTTGCTTAAGAATCGATGGACACATGAATTCAAGACATCTTCAGACAAAAGACTTCTCTCGCGTGGATTCAATTGATTGAAATTTGTGTACATTTTAGTGATTGTCAGAGAATTTTGATAATCCAATGAAGAATATGTGATTTGTTTGGATTAACTGATAAAATATGAATTCAAATGATAGCTATATTTTTGATTATTTAATAATTCAAATTATTGTCTCGCTCAAACACTTATAGCCCAATTGGTAATTAAATGAACGACAATTCATATAATAATACAAATAGCATTGAATTGAATTTCAATAAATACTGAAATCTCGTGAACAGAATAATCTCACTTTTGTTCAAATGAGTTTGTAATTCAAAACCAATTCTAACCGTTAGTATAGAAACAGTCAAATAGAGATAATCTGTGAAACCATTTGTTTAAGTCTTTTGAAAAGTAAAGTAATTATCAGTGTTTGAGATCCGCTTTATTGAGACAAATGGGAAACTGTTGCGGAGGAGGAGGTCCTAAACCAGAAGAAGGGGCGCCCGCAGAGGCCCCACCGGCAGGAGAACAGCCACCAGCAGAGGCGCCGCCCGCAGAAGGCGGCGGTTCGCAGACGGGAGCGCCACCAGCAGCCGGATCCAAGACAGGCGCACCGGCAGCCGGATCTGCTGTCGGATCCAAGACTGGCTCAAAGACAGGAAGCGGAACGAACTTAGGGTCAGCCGTGGGCTCAGCGCAGGGATCAGCCGCTGGCTCGGCGGTCAGCGCCAGCGGTTCATCGGTCGTGGGCTCCAAGACGAGTGCCGCGCCCTCAGCCCTGTCATCGTCCGTCTCGAGTACAGTCCGAAGCGCACTGCCGTCAGCCGTCGGCTCTAAGACAAGTGCAGCGCCGGGATCGCAGACGGGATCGAAAGCCGGGTCCGCAGTGTCGGCGTCCAAAGCGGGCTCAGCCACCGCTGTACCGTCCGCTCCGTCAGCCGCCGGTTCCAAGACTGCCTCCGCCGCGGGTTCGGCCACCGGCTCAAAGACAAGCGCCGCAGCCCCGGGATCTGGCGCCGCACCCGCTTCTGGATCTAAAACAACTTAATATCACATTTCGTTAGCAAAGAGTTTTCGCAAAATTTTTTGTTTTTATGTTATTTTGTATTTAAAAAACAGTGAATCAAATCAAATGTGTTTTTATCGATCCATAAAACCATTCATTTGTTTTAGAAAAATAAAAGTTTTGTAAATATTATCGCAGTTTTGAGTATTTTGTATGAATTAAATCTATCAATAGTTTAGTTAAAACTTATTTGATTACAGTATTATCACATTTTCTGTATAAATAACTTGAATCCAATTTAATACAGTATTGAAAATAAACTCCAATAGTTTGAGCCTTAATATCAATTACAATATTTTATTGGTATGGTATATAAAATACATGTATAATTAAAATTTAATTCCTATGAATATTCTTTAGTATCACTTCTCATTTGCCTGAATATTAAGAGTAAATAAAAATACAAATTAAATATAAATTCTTTGACAATAACTATGCATTCAATCAATTCCTTAACGGAACCAATATTTCGACATAACTTATGGGAAATAANATACAAATTAAATATAAATTCTTTGACAATAACTATGCATTCAATCAATTCCTTAACGGAACCAATATTTCGACATAACTTATGGGAAATAAACCGATTCTTCCGTTAAGTATGCCTTCAAACCAATGATTATCCATTCGTTTCTTCAATTCAATCACATCTCCCTCTTTGAGAGACAATTCATCACTACTTTTGGATTCAAAATCATATAACGCCCGACACTTTGGCTTCTCCTGTCTTAATGGTTGCTGTGATATGTTTTGCGAGATATTCCTCAACTGATTCCCACTTTTCGTTGCAATGCTTTGACTTTTGGCGAAAATGTCTTTAGTGTTGACCTTATGGTTGATATGACCGTTAAGTTTCATGAGACCCATCGCACCGTTGTATTGTACGACCGCTTCGGTAGATCTATTGACAGTCGTCGCCCAGACATCAGTCACCACATCGACCGCACTCTTCGGTTCAGTCCTTCCCTTCAATCTCGTCGTAAGACTTCTCAAGACATTCGCGCAGTTGTTGTGATAGTCGTAGAGGGCCTGCGAGAGGGCTGACAAGACAACGTAGACTAGGAGAAGCCACAGGTTGTCCAAGACGTAGCGTTCACTGCGATTAAATATGCTGAGCAACATGAATAAGAGGCTGCTGAAGTACAGTCACAGGCGCTGTACTGTAGGGAATCTGATCTTGCGTTTCATGCAGTCGTAGTCGAGTCGCCGGCCCTCCAGTTTGCGCCGCGAAGTCATACACTCCCGGAGGTCTGCGCTCTGCAAACGACTTAACGGATCCAAAAAGTTGTGTTTCACGTCGTCTTCGAGTGAGTACTTGATTTGTGTCAACTCTTTCAGTGTCTTTCCCACGTCTACCAAACTCTGACCGAAACGCGACGACTTCCCCAATTGGTTGCCGTATTTGGCCATAGAGTCGGCCAAATCGAGCTCCGGGTGCTCATACCTCTCCCGTTTGGTACCCTTTATCTTGTTATTGACCACAACTTTAGCCCTGAGGGCGGGGTTTGGGTGCAGACACTCCCGGGTTTTGGCGATCATGTGGTCGACCACCGCATCCGTCAAATCAGTCTTTCGTTGCATTTCGAGGAACTGATCGGAAGGTCGGGTGCCCTCCGCCGCCCCCATCTTCTCCACCACAAACTGATTCGCTTTATTCAACTGCTTCTTGAGGCCCGACAAAGACATGTCTG